TGGGCATTTCTGGGGATCGCGCGTTTGAAGATAAGAATACTTCTTTCAGGGTTTTTTTTAGAAATAGTTTTGTGTGTGACGTGATCTATAGCGTAGTATTGCTGGGACGTTTTGCGTTTGTTCTATAGCGTAGTATTGCTGGGACATTCAATAGATCACTGACACCATGGAAAACTCCCAATTACAGCAGCCAGCCGCTAAAATCCTCCTTCTCTTCACCTTCTCGTCCTAGTACATGCTGTATCGCGAGAGGTGGTGGTGTTCTGTCGCCGCTGAATAGTGAAACCGGCGCCAACCCACACGTCGGCTTCTTTCTCTATCTCCCATCCGCGAGGCACCGCCCCTTCTTAGATTTTCTGAAAGGTCTCTACAAGTGCGGCAGTACAGTGGATGTAAATGTCTTTAAGAGGAGAGGAGTCTACGATGAAGGAAATATCGCGATCCGATTCGTGCTCTGTTGGGTACTGTTCGGACATTCGCCTGATTCTGATCGGTGAAACAATTGATCACTCCAGTATTGCAGCAGCCGGCCACTCCTTCCACATTCTCCTTCAGATTGAGGCTGAATTCTATCTAACTACATTAAAGAAAGTGTAGGTTTACGAGGAAAATAAGGGAAACGAGATGAGGATTGAATGCTACCTCATACCGACTACCAAAACTATGATTGATTATTGACACTTTATTTCTTTCAAATTGTAAAGTAGGTCAAATTTTTATGACAGTTTTAGTGGTTGTAATTACCCCTCTTCAAATTTACACCAATTAATCTTACATGATGATGATCCCACTAAACCATAGTACCCCTTTTATCTTCTGATTCCTGAAAGATTGAAATATGGTGTTTGCGAAGACGACAGTACTGACGAAGTTTATCGACAGTACATAGGTAATCAAAGTAGTAGTTTTTTGTCTTTTACATGCTTTATTATGAAGATATAGGGTTACTTTGATTTTTTAAAGGAAATCAGTACTACATTTTTGCTTGTATGGAAGGAGTTTGAGGAAGATTTAAAAATATACTTATCATATTTAAGCAAATATTTTTTGTAAATAGATGCTTTTTGTAATAGTTTTCCGTTGATGCCACCCTTTGACATTCGCCTTTTTTCTCATTTCTACTGAAAAAGAAACTTCGCGAATTCGTCCTTTCGCCTTGCGAAAAAAGTAATGAAGCAATTTCCATTGATACAAATTCGAAGGTTTGTTTTAAGAAGAATTAGTACCAAGATTCAAAGTAGTTGCAATCGTTGTCATGTACACAATGATCATGTGGACGATGTTGAAAAAAGTGGTCTGCAGTCTTAAACAACATCTGGGCAAAGATAAGACGAGAGGATTGAATGAAAGCACTGCAGTGAATGCAAAGTTCTCGTGCGGAGTTGCGACAGCTTATCACCCGTTTGTGTCATGAAACTGCGTGACCTCATTCGTAGCAGCACCGCATGCTGTTCTGCCAGAAACGAGCTATCAATTTTCAGATTGCGAGATGTAGAGGGAATTTTAAACTTTCACTAAACACGAGACAAGACCAAATTTTGTTTAGTACAACATTGAAAACATTTTTCGTTGGAAACACATCATGGAAGACGAAAGAACCTAAAGCTATAGGTCTTCTCTCTCGCAACCGTCACATACTTTCTGTTGTTTACAAGAATAAAATTGAAATAGAAAAACAATAAAAAAAGCATGAACACACTGTATGAACAAGAGGTGTGAGTACAATAAGTTACAATAGAAATACCATACAAACTAATTACGAACAGAAATGAAACGTTTAATACAAATACAATACACATGCTATACAAATGTGATACATACATCATACGCACGCCATACAAACACTGTACAGACGCCATTCAAAAGCAATACGAATGTAAATTAAAAGCCAAAAAACGCTATTTAAAAGATACAAGCGCTATACAAACGCCATACAATTGCCACACAAACGAAATACAAACGCAGAACAAACCAAAGAAAATGCAAGGCTAGCACAATGCAAGTGCAATGGAAATGCAATACAAATGCAAATTAAATGCCAAAAAACGCTATCGACAAGCCATACAAGCGCCATACAAACCCCATACAAAACTCATAGAAACTCAATACAAATCGCATATAAACGCCAAGAAAATGCAATGCACGCGCAACGCAATGGAAATGCCATACAGATGCAAGTTAAATGCAAAAAAAAACGCTATTAAAAAGTCATACGAGCGCAATACAAACGCCATACAAAACTCATAGAAACTCAATACCAATCGCATACAAGCGCAAAGAAAATGCAATGCAAGCGCAACGCAATGGAAATGCCATACAGATGCAAGTTAAATGCCTAAAAACGCTATCGAAAAGTCATACGAACGCAATACAAACGCCATACAAATCCCAAAGAAACGCAATACAAATCGCAAACAAACCCAAATAAAATGCAATGCAAGCGCAACGCAATGCAATGGAAATGCCATACAGAAGCAAATTAACTGCCAATAAACGCGATCGAAATGCCATACGAGTGCAATACAAACGTCATACAAATCCCATAGAAACGCAATACAAATCGCATACAAACGCAAACAAAATGCAATGCAATGCAAGCGCAACGCAATGGAAATGCAATACAGATGCAAGTTATATGCCAAAAAACGCTATCGAAAAGCCATTCGAGTGCAATACAAACGCCATACAAATCCCATAGAAACGCAATACAAATCGCATATAAAGGCAAAGAAAATAGAATGCAAGCGCAACACAAGGCAATGGAAATGCCATACAGATGCAAATTAACTGCCTAAAAACGCTATCGAAAAGTCATACGAACGCAATTAAAACGCCATACAAAACTCATAGAAACTCATTACAAATCGCATACGAACACAAAGGAAATACAATGTAAGCGCAACGCAATGAAATGGAAATGCCATACGGATGCAAATTAACTGCCAAGAAACGCTATCGAAAAGCCATACGAGTGCAATACAAACGTCATACAAATCCCATAGAAACGCAAAGAAAATGCAATGCAAGCGCACTACCCCACATGTCAAGGGATCTGTAAGGAAATGCCATACAGATGCAAGTTAAATGCCAAAAAACGCTATTAAAAAGCCTTACGAGCGCAATACAAACGCCATACAAAACTCATAGAAACTCATTACAAATCGCATACAAACGCAAAGAAAACACAATGCAAGCGCGATGCAAATGCCACGTAAGAGATGCGCACTCACGCGCCTTGGTGTCGAGGGGCTCGTTGCCGTAGTCGAAGAGGCGGCCCTCGGCGTACCAGGCGTCGAGGGCGTTGCGCACGCCCACGCGCTGGCGCGTGTGCGCGTCGCTCGACACGAAGGAGAACACGTTCTCGCCCAGCGGGTTGTCCACCATGTACGCGTGGCGGTCCTCGTCCGCCAGCTGGCGCGCCCACGCCTTGGCGCGGAGGCACAGCTGCGCCAGACATCGATTCATTTGTCAGTGACTCCGATTCCGGACTCAACGGCTAGGGTCACGAGGCACAGAAGTGTAGTGCATGGTTTTTTCCGAGAGATGGAGGAGGTCATCCCCAGCTGGATATCGTTGCCTAGCGGGGTTTTCCCCAACCAGGTATCTACCACAGCCGGGGTACCGCCCCACACGAGTCAAGTTGTAGCCTTCCGACCGGTCTCCCGGCATGTGTGGTAGTGTTCTACATGTTACTGTGTGAGTGTAAGTAAGGGGTGAGGATAGGACAAGGAACGTGAAGCGCGCGGGCCGTGCCCCGTTTGTAGGGGAACTGCTCCTGCATTCGCTTGCTGTTTATCGGATAAACTACGGAAAACTATCACAGCAGCCGTCTGATTCACTTGTCCACAAGCCACAGGCAAAATTCGTCCCAATTATGTTAGTAGTGTCGAAACCACGCTACCGTCCATTACCTCTCGTTTAGAATCGTTGCAGACGCACGTGTCTAAATTCGCTCAACGGCAACGGAAAACGCACAACGGCAGTGTACTAAATTCAGTTTGTGGGCCGTTGACTATTTAGTAGTATTTCGCCAATTGAATACATCTGAACAACATGAATTACAGCCGCGCCTCTGACCGCGATGTCCTAGGTTTGGCGTCCCGACAGTGACAGAATATTCGAGTACTCTAACAAATAAACCAAGAAAAGCATGCGCTTTTCCTTCCTCATCCTTATTTTTATCTTATCTACTTAGAAAGACTATCACTAACATATACTACATTAACACACATTTTGGGTGACCAAATGAGTGCTTATAACTTGTTCCAGTGGGGGCGGTGCCCTGCTGATTGAGATAACTGACTGAGGGAGAGCTGTGGTATATTGACGAATGAATGAATGAATGAATGAATGAGTGACTGACTGGAACAAATGTGTGGTGTGTTGTACTGTGTGGCTGAAGGAGAGCAGCGGTGCGTTGCTGATTGAATGGCTGGAGTGAATGTGTGGGGCGTCGTACGGTGTGGCTGAAGTAGAGCAGAGGGGCGTTGGTGATTGAATGGCTGGAGTGAATGTGTGGGGCGTCGTACGGTCTGGCTGAAGGAGAGCAGCGGGACGTTGTGCCTGCGGCGCAGCTCGTTGTGCAGGTGGAGGCCCTCTTGCTGCGGGGCGGAGGGCGGCTTTCCGTCGCA